CCTGGGGATACTGGGTTAATGAAAGCATCTAAACACTGTCAAGCGCAAGACAGATGTGGGTGGAATTATATGAGAGCCTGGTCTGGCTTTCTCGGTTCTGACTACCTTTCAGCCCTGATGACTCACTCACCAAGAGAATAGACTCTTCACCTACGTGCTACAACTATGCATACGTACACTTTCCCTTCTCAATCTAGCTTCACTCACATCAGGCCTTCCTTCCAAACTTAGCAAACCTGCCACGGGGCAAGATATTCCCCAGGCAGACAAGGCCCATCTGTGTTATGACTGATACCCAATGCTAATGCCATGCTCTGAAATTTAGTGTCCAGCCAGGCTTCCATTATGTTTTCTGCAGAGAGTAAGCTAAACATGTAGTCATTAATCCTCTAAGGCGCTGTTGAAATCGTTTAACTATTTAGTTCCGTAAGGGTAGGCCCGCAGCTAGGTATACCCCATAGAACCCTAGAATGTTTACAGAAAGCTGCTATTAGCAGTAAATATCCGCAGATGTCGTGATGGCATTTTCAGAAATCATGAGCATTTTATAAATCCCCACTACCATCCAGCCTTTCGGCACCTTCACCTTAACTTCTCAGTATAACGTTTCTGTCCTGTTTATCATTTATGTCTTTCCTATTGAGCACTGTGTCTTATGACCTGATATCACTCCTGTCTTAACGTTCAGCCTCTGCTGGGACTATTGCCTGCAGATTGAGTAATTACCCAGGCAGAAAATAATATGTTATCCCTTCTCAAAATATTTTTGCTTGTAGTCACTTAGGTTTCAGTATAAGTCACTATCACCCCTTAAAAATCTTGACTCTGTGTACATTTTTATCAACTGTAAGCATGAAAGAAGTCAAAATAGAAGCAAAAGTAGGAAGCTTTTTTTTCCTTAAACTGTGTGTGCTGTATACTACCTGCTTTAGAAGTTGGATAGAATCTTAAATAAACTCTTAATGATTCAGGTTTATATAATGCATTTATCTTGAAATATGTACTTGTGTTCCTATGTCAGCCATTAATTTGAGGACTGTTACAAGGCCTTAACAACCTTTTTTTATATTCCCAATAAACAAGAACCCGACTCAGCAGATAGCTTTTCTGTCTGGTATTGTTTTATTAGTGTAATAGCTTTACAGCAAAAATTCATTCAGAGGTTTATTGGCAACAAGGTGAGTAACTGTAGTTAAATATCTTTCGTGATGTGGTAATTTGCAAAACTGAGCATCTTTGATTTTGTATTGTGTGGTATGAAAGCCACCAACTGGCTCAGTCACACTCCATTTAGTGGATATCAAGTTTCCCTGGCTTCACGTGGTTTTCCAGGGGGTGGAGAGGAGTCAGGAGTCCCATTTGCACCCATAGGTGCTGAGAAATGGCTGGCTGTCTCTCAGTGCATTTGTTATTTCCGGGTGTGTGCTTGCAGCTGTGAGTCATAGCTCAGAAAATCAGAAAGCATTTTGTGATAGTAGCTATTAGCAAGTGCCCTTCAGCGGCTGTAATTAATTCAATGGTTCCTTCTCTTTAAAGGTGACCAGATAACCCATAGCCAGCAAGTTTGCTTTCTCAGATAAAGGCTTTTCATTTTTCCATGTGCCCTCAAATCAGCCTTGCTTTCTTCCTCCTTTCAACATTGTATACCTGAACCTAAGACTATTACATGATCTGAAAGCTTTGAACATCCGTGCTGTGATCAGCCAGTCAAGCAGTCCAATTTCCACTTTGTTCAAATAGTGCTTTCCTGTCTTGTCTGGGAAAAGTGTCTGCCAATTCATTTTTCTCTTCTTATCAGTAAAACACATATATACAGTGCTCACATTGCTTAATATAAAACACAAGCAAAATCCCTGAACAATCAGAAGGCCAGTCAGAAAAACTGCCCAGAGCTTTCTGTTCTCATCCCAAAGCACATGCTTTTGTTTGCCATGAAATGAAAAAGCAAATCACAGAGCACTGTTTTTCCAGGTGCTAATCATCACAAATTATTAGGCCTTGATAATGGTCTTATTTAAACAAAGACTACTTAGCACATGCTCACCTTCTTAGGAATCATTTCTTTCCCCTGTATCCCCCAGCCTTCAAATCTAGTTTACATGGAGATAGTCTTAGATGAGAGCAACTAATTCATATTGGAGGAATTCTTGGCAGATCTATAGGGGTTCAATCCCCAACCCCTTCCAAGGCACACTCACCAAGTATGATAAAGTAGGGTTTTCATATATGTCATGGGCAGAGGATAGCAAAAAAATAGTAACACATTCTCTATCCATGTCTTTAGTTACTTATTTTTTTCATGGTGAAATAACACTTTATATTTTCTATAGAGACCCAGCAGGAGAGAACATGGGCGCAGGAAAAGGCAAATGTCTTTGAAACTCAGCTCTCAGTACTTTCAATTTTATTTCAAAACTGTGAAAAGATTGAAACTAGTCCAAAGCATGGGCAACTTTGTTCTGGCCCCTGCTTTATCTCCTTGTCTGTTTTGCCTCTTGCTATGGAGATACAAACAAAAGCTTGGATGGAGTCAAATTCTGGTTCCACTGCTTACTACAGTGTTTCCCCGAAAATAAGACCTACCCATAAAATAAACCCTAGCAGGATTTCTAAGCATTTGCACAATGTAAGCCCTATCCCGAAAATAAGACCTAGTGATGGGCGTTGGCTATGCAACGTATCTGCACAGCCCATGCATTTTGTCGCGGAGCAGTAAAGAAGACGAGCAGGTTACATGGATACGAGCTGCTCATTTAATGAGAGCTGTATTGCTTGACATGAGAGACTGGGGCCAATGGTTCTAAAGGAAATAGAGTCGCAAGAAATTCAGGATGGGATTCGAGGTTTGGAGAGTTATGATGTTCCAGAAGAAGACAATTTAACTATATTTGAATAAATGTAGATTGTTGTACCATACTTAAAAAAAAAAATAACACATCACCTGAAAATAAGCGCTAGGGTGTCTTCTTGAGGAAAAATAAATATAAGACCCTGTGTTATTGTCGGGGAAACAGGGTACTAGCTCCATGACCTGAGGCAAGTAACTTAATCTCTCTTTCCTCATCTACAAACTAAATTAGAAACGTACCTGTCTCATTTTGTTGCACTGAAGTCTGAATAATTTAATATTTGCAAAACCACTTCCAACCATGTCTAGTATTTAGGAATGATGTTAGCAATTATTTATACTATCCTTGCCCTCAAAGCACATATAATCCAATTAATAGAATGTATAATAAATCATGTGAAATTATATGATACATATCATTAAGTGCAGTAGAATTGTGGGAGACAATGGAAACTATATAATCAGCTATCAAAACTGGCATTTGGACTAGCTTTACCAATATCAAATACTTTGAGTCTTTGTGCTTCCCTTATGAACTCTTATGGTATTCTCCTTTTTTCTCCAATTTTGTACTCACAGTTCTTTTGAAGCTTTGCTGCAAATGGGACTCCATGCTCCATTGTGCGTTAGCAGAGTGACCTAGCTTGATCAAACGCCGAACGAATGCAGGGACTTATTCTCTGCCTCACTGGGACTGCCATGGAACAGCATGGCTAAATGCTAAACGAAAGTGTGTGCAGACCATGATGCATGAGTGCAGGGGACTCTAGGGGTATTTTTCCTAGTGTATGGTTTTGGTTCATTTAAGACTTTAAACATTTGAGAATGAGAAAATGCCTGGGAATACAATCCAGAGTAAAGAATCATGGGGATGCCATGAAGAGTTATGCAGATGTTAAAGCAAGATTTTCCTAAATCTAACATTCATCTAGGACAAGAGTACAACAAGCAAAGTGTAACAGGTGCCATTCCAGTTCACATAGAGGGCCAGACACACCTTTGAGGCACAAAAGGAAATCACAGGCACATGAGAGAGGCCTTGGGTCAGAATGCACCAGGAGCCTAGAGGACAAAGCCCTGGTCCCGGGCCCAAGTTGCTGGAAGACCCTAAACAATGTAATTATCCTCCTTTACAATCTCAGTTGTCTAATCTATAAAATGGGCATAATGATACCTTCTTTGCTATGTGACAAGGTTTGCAGAGAGCAAAACAAGTAGTGTCTGTGCAAATTCTTTGAAAACTGTTTAATGTAACAATTGTTTAGCGGTACCATGATGGAGTTTGGAGTCTAAAAGGAACATAGAACCAAATCAAAAGTAAATACTAACAGGAATCTAAGAACATCAAGAAAAGAATCAATTCAAGTAACTGTGCAGTATATTTGAAAAAAAGTTGATAATTCTGCCAAGTATTTGTCCATGTCATGGCTCATGTTTCACTCAATGAAGGTCACAGCAGGGAAGAAAAAAGTTAGCTTCTATTTAAACTAATGGTTTAAGAAATAATGTTTAAACTTATTAATTAAAAAGTTAAGGATATACTTACTGACTTAAGAAGTGCTGCATGGATGCACAGGTGTTAATGTACAAAGATTTTAGTAGAGCCTGATCTATTTTGAATTGTAAAGAGTATTCTATGTTAGCAACTATGTGAGAATATCAACACATTTTTATTTAGTTATGGCCACTAATGACCTTCAACAGGGCAAAATGTTTTACTTCAACCAGACATTTAGGCATGCCAGCATATTATGATCATGCCTTTATTCATTTTCCTGTCTGTGGTGACAATGTGCTCAGTTATTTGGTTTGTAACATATGTTTGGGTTAGAAGAATCTTTATGATAATATTTGAAAAAGCATCTGGCCCAAAGCAGGCCTCTATAAAGCTATCAGTAAATATCTACTAAGACACACAAGGACATCCGGGAACTGTAGGTAGGTAATGCCAGGGTATTACTGTGGAATAGTGCAGTCTTCTACTTTAAGGGAGTCGACTGTTTGTGAAAATGTTTGCATGTGGGCATTCTAACAGCAGGCCCAGAGTCTTCCTTGGATTCTCAAAAGGTTAAGAACCAATTTTCAGAAAAATAGCATCTGGGTGAGTTAAAGGCTAAGGGCTTTCTAACAGGAGCTGTGTTTCTTGTCCTAGGTGTTAAAGTTTGAGCCTGGCCACCTCAGGAGGAGGGGCAGAGTGAAGACCATGACTCTCGTTGACATTCAGTTGGATCACCATGAGCGGTGCGATTGTATCTGCAGCTCAAGACCGCCTCGATAAAAGAATGTGCACATACTTACATTAAGCTTGAAGAAACCTTTAGTTTAAGGGGGGTGTGGTAAGAGACCCATTTTCCACCAGCAACCGAACTTACTACTAGCCTGCAATGCAATGAACACAAGTGGTTGCTGAGTTTCAACCTAGCTTTGTTAGTGCCATGGCAAGTAGAAAGGCGTATCATCAACTTCTATATTCAAGAATATAGGATTGCATTTAATAATAGTGTCTGAGGATATATATACACAGCACAGATATGTATATCCATGTCTATGTGTAAATAGATCAAATGATTTATTCAATATATATAACCAGGTACACCAGAGCTCACATATGGTTATTTAGACCCTTAAAATCTTTTGACAAAATAAGAGACAATCAAATATATGAAATATGTCTTTAAATTTTTCAGAAGATGAATTTGTTTATTTTTAAATTTTGAATCACAAAACAATTTTGGATCTAGCTCTCTTAAAGAAATCATCATGTACATCTGTACCCCCATAATATGCCGAAATAAAATAAATAAATAAATAAATAAGTTGAGATGTAAAAAAAAAACCAAAAGATGAGCTTTTCTTAGGTATATATCTTAACTGATTACATAAAAGGAAAAATATGATTTCTCGGAAAAAGGCAAATACTTAGGCATTTTTCCCACAAGATGCACTACACACTTACCTATGTAGACAATAATAACCTGTCTCCAAGACCATGCCATAATAACATAGGTGCTTTAGAAATTAAATCATTAAGTCTTTTCATGCATTTTGCTGATGCATTCTAATCCATTTAAAACCTGTCCCGAAAAAAGTACTCAGTGTCTTTATTATTATAATCTTACAAGAGACAATTTATGAGCTGTAGCAGAATTTTGAATTTTTATTTTTCCAAACCCCTCCACAAGGGCAAATCCTTTCAAGAATGGCGTGGGAATTCTGTATGAGCCTTTCAAAATGGTGTTCATTGGAAGATTTGGGTAGTTGAGAGTTTAAAAAGTGAGTATTGAATACATTAACATAACTGGAAATCAGGTAGAATATTTGATAGACTTCATATTTAATAATGGATTCAAACTCTCTAAACTATGCCAATTAATTTTTATCTATCTTGCATTTGTGTTCCTGTCTCTTCGATATAGAAACTTGGATTTAAAATGGCATTCTATTTTTGGCAAGCCATCATGGATTATTTTTAGCCTAAAAGCTTTTGTGTATCAATAAAACAACCAAATTTTATTAATGCAAATTCCCGATCCTATAACGTCATCACCATGCTCAGTATGTTTCTCAACCAAGTGAAGTCAGATCTGGGGTCTCTGGTTCTTTCTAAATCTGTGAGTCTTGTTCTAAGAAGCCAACTGTGAATCGTGGGAGCACAAGTTCGTCCCTGCTCTCTCACTAGAAAACTGTGTTGCATGGATTATTGGTATTTAGAGTAATTTTTCCTCCCTGGCTCCTTCATGTCTGTTTTAAAGGAGACTGACTCCAAGAGGAGGAAGTGATTCATCATTCTCCAAAGCAAGACACTTAAAGAGAGCAGCTCTGAAATCCGAAGATAGCTCAGGGGCTGCTCACAGAGAACTACCTTTTTCTTCCTGCCTTGAAAGGAAAAAGGAGAGCCGATTCCTTCTGTGAGTCTAGGGCCCTACCGCCTACAACCAGTTTGGGTGAGAGGTATGTGGCAGGGCTAGTGAAGTCCCAGTGTCAGACGAGTGGCCGTGATATACTTAGATTTCTAAGCGTGGTGCTCTCAGGCCCAGCTCTCAACTACCCTTAGGTAGCTTACTTCTTCCCAGCTCTTTCAGATGAAAGACCTGTGCTTATTGAAGATGTACCTTCTAAAACTCCCCTAGAAGTGCCTGATGTTTTTATTGAGGCAGTGAGTGGTAAAATTACTCCATTGTTCAAGTCTCCAAAATCCCAGAAATATCCCAGGCAGACACTAACAATCAGGAACCACTCTTCCTCTTCATGGCTACTTGCAAGTTTCCTGTGAAAACATTGGCTTCCTGTACCCAATTCAAAGTGTGTGTTGTTACATCACTCTAGCTTGTACAGCTCACGTCGTAGCTGTAAATATGAAAAATTAGAGTGTTCTACCCGATTTTCAATAAACCTTCCAGGCTGCAATAACCAGGATGGTTTTCAGTTAAAGCCCTATCTGTACTTTTTATTTATTAGCTGAAATGTAAGCAGGCATATTCACTCACTTTTCTTTGTCTTTCCTGAGAGTTTTTTTATTAAAACTTCTCCCTTGGTTATCTGTTATCTATTGCACTTCCACCATGTAGCCAATAAATCTGGTTCATTGCCATCAAAGGAATAAAAAGCTCAACGTACAGATTACATTTCAAAACAAACCCTAATAAATCCACATTTCTGCATGGCTCACTCAACTGAAATAATGCCTTTCATTCAATATGTTCCTATAGGGCAGAACACTTCCATAAGTAGAGTTTTTTATGTTTTTTTTTTTTTTTGTCATGTTGATAACATGCAGCTTTTTCCTCTCATAGAATTTTCTATGGCAAATGTAATATGCCTCTTATCTTCATGAAAAATAAATATTGCTCTTGAACAAACCTACTCCATTATTTAGTGCTCAATTGCAGTTTTAAAAGGTGTACAATGTTACCAACTTACTTTTGCAAATGCATCAAATTGTTTGCAATGACAAGATTGGGTGGTTTCTGAAGGCTTCATTTTATGATAATGCTAAAAGATTAAGAATCTTGTTTCCCAACTATAGGTTTCTACCCTGTCCCTAATCTGCAACTGCATAGTGAGTCAGGACTTGGGTTTTGTTTTGTTGCTGCTGTTGTTGCTTCTACCTTTGACTGTTTCCCCACAGGTCTTTTAATGAATTATATTCTCCACTGACATTCCTCTCCTAAGAGTGTCCACATCCTCTCTCTTCCTTGAGGCCTGAAATCAACAACATCACAGCCTCATTCCTCTTTTGGCCGCTCTCACCCCTTATCCCGTCTGGATGGACAGCCCAGCGATTGTGATTCAGTGATCACAGCTCAGGGAGACTAGATTAGGAGCCACACTCTCATAGTATTTAGCTTACCATTTGTCAAGGGCCACAGAGCATAAAGAGAGCTCTTCTAGCTGCAAGAATTTTTGCTTTTGCTTGTGGCTTAGTCTTTATTATCATCCTACTAGAGACAAGATAGCAGCTGCCGTGTTGGTTAAAACTCTGCCACTTAAGCGTAATGGTTTTAGGTTGTTTGGGGGATGGGGGTAGAGACATATATATTCCATGACAAGAACCAATTTTACAGTCAAAAATGCCAGCTAATGTGTGAGTATGGGGGAGGGATGGGGAAAGGATCAAATAGTTCTGTGCATAAAAGCTCATTCAGATAATTTGGATGTTTATGTAAAAAGTCAAAATCTCATTCAGATAATTTGGATGTTTATGTAAAAAGTCATAATAGTTGTATATATAAACAGCATTTTAATGCAAATACATTAAGGATTTTATTTCATATCCTGAAATGTTCATGTGTCCAGTTTTACTCTAAGAATAACTCAACAGATGTCCAAACTGTTCATATTCTCCTAGGGTCCTCTGGTAGAACATTAAATTAAAATTCATAGCTTAGTATTCATGCCTGAAATCCTAGGAAATACAATTTTGTTTATTAACAGCCCTGATCAAATATGCTTGAAGATAGAATATTTATACTTCCCTGGTTTTATTGACATTTACTCAGATCTTGTTGTTTTTAAAGATCAAGTTAAAGACTACACAGGCCTTCAAAACTTAACATCGCGCACTGGGATATCTCTCAAAACAAAACAATTAGACATCAACAATAGATAAACAGCTAACTGCTTAATTTAAGACTTTCTGCTTGCTGTTCAAGTTATATCTCTGAGTTTTGCAAACCAATTTGTATCATTTTTGAATAAATTTCATTTCTATAGAGATGTCTAAAATTCTCAAGCAGATCACATCAGAAGGGAGTGGAGCTTAGTCCATAATAAAGGTTAATGGACTTAGTGCAGCAAGTTATGGGCCAAGAAATCTTCATTTTCTAGCAAAATCATTTGACTTTCTAATTATTTTAAAACTGTTGAATACTGATTGCCAGGTTTAGTGGCCAGAAACCAAATGTTAAAAACATTCTTAGATTCAATTTGCATTTTAAATAATACCTGCAATACAAATTCTCTTTTAAGAACTAAAGCCTCTGGATATATTCTCTCACCTCTCTTTGGTTGAGGCCATATTATAAATTCCTTCTCTTCAGTCCTAGTCTTTGCTAGACTTTCGTTTTTTCCCTGTGATTCCCAAATTCCTTTCCCCTCTCACCAGCCTCTAACCACCAGTCTTCAAGTTAGAGAAAATCAGAATTGATATCTCCTTTGGGAAAACAGATCCTTTAACAAGATCAAATGCACAGTTTCCCAAGTGAGCAATTAATAGGGTAACATTGCCAACTGATAAGAAATCACTGCTTCTTAAGAGTCAGACACATCAATTGAGTCTTTTCCAATATCGTCCATTTTGGTGTAAACTTCAGAATATGGTGGTGAATATTTATTGGCTTCTGACAAAGGAAATTTAGTCTCAGTCAATAGCGGGGGAAAACAGACTAAATTAAAATGCTTCATTCATTCATTCAGCAACATATCCATACACATCAGGCAGGCTTCGGGACCCAAAACACAAGATCCACAAGAGAGGATAGTACTGGAGAAAGATATTTTAGGTGAGATAAATGTAAAAACAAAGATGCTCCAGCAAAAATGCAAAAGGTAGGCATGGGGAGTTCATGCAATACAGAGTAAAGTGGTGGAAAGGAAAGGAAAGGAAAGGAAAGGAATCTGTAGCCAAACAATTAAGTTTGAAAGAATAGAGAAGCCACTGATTGCACAAAGTCTTTACTGGATGGCTAGCAAAGAAGTCTCATTCTTTGCATTTAGGAGAGGAGTCCATGGAGACTACTGAGATATTGGGGACTGTAAATGCCTTAGAGCACCAGACAGAGCATTAAGGCCTTGGGTGTAGTGACTCACGTGCCACTTTCTGGACCTGGGTTCCCTCATTTACAAAATCAGATATGTGTGATGTTCTGTAGGACCCAGCCAGCAGAACAGTTCTGCAGTTCTGCATTTTGGACAATGACAGTCTCCAGGAAGAATGGGGATACGCTGGGAGTTATATGACTCCCTGTTTTAGGGGTAAAACTGTCAATGGAAAAGAACCCAAACTCTCCAAAATAATTTAAAGAGGTCTATTCTGAGTCAACTATGAGTGTCCATGGCCTGGAGCCACACCAAAGAAGCCTTGAGCAAGTGGTCTTCCTGTGATTGGGTTACAGTTCGGTCTTACACATTTCAGGGAGACAGGAATTACAAGTAAAGTCATAAATCAGTACATGAAACATATATGTTGGTTTGGCCTGAAAAGATGGGACATCTCCAAGCTGGGGATTACAGGGTATGGGTGGGTTTAAAGATGCTTTGATTTGTAATTGGTTAAAGACATGAAGCTTTGTCTGAAGGCTTGGAATGTCTTGAGATAAGGAAGCCTGTTAATTAGAGACAAGTCACAGGACATAGACTCACAAGATCTGTTGAGTAAATTGAAGACCTACAGGTGTGGTTTAAGCTTTGTCTTACATGTCCTTAGGCCTGTTAAGGAGCTACAAAGGATATCTCCAAGAAGGGAGGGGGGCATGAGGAGGTGTATCTGACCTCCCTTCTCATGGACAGCAACTCAGTTTTAGGGTATTTGTGGGGTCCTCTTGGCCAAGAGGGGTCTATTCCATTGGCTGGGGGGGGGCTTAAGGTTTTATTTTAGTTCACAAAATAACAAGGAAGAAGTGAGACTTCAGAAACAGGAAGGGATGTGGTTGTGCAGGCTATGAATTGCAAATCTCTGGGGGCTGCTATTTGTGTGAACTAAGACTACAAGAAAGGTGAACAAGAGAATTCAGAGATCTTAGTTATTGAACTGGGCGGAGAGTGCAGGCTTGGAGGTATCCTGGAGGAAAGAAATTTGAAGAGTATTCTCTGGGAGAAAAGTAGGGAGGCAGGAAGGGGAGGCCAATTTCGAGAGCATATCTCTCAGAAAAGGAGCCAAGGCTTATAATTAATGTTGGCTGAGAGTTATCCTTATAAGTGGCAAAGCTGAAATCATGAGAAGATAAAGGACTTCCATAACCATAGAGAAAAGGAAAGAAGACTAAGTCACAAAGCTCACAAAATGTGTTCCAAAAATTTGGTAAATACTTACTGAAGGCCAGTTAAGGGCCAAATCCTGTGCTAGACACAATGGAAGCCTCTAGTCACAACATCTTGCCAACTGATCAATACTTAACATTGTATATGTGTGTTTCCAGTTAAGAATTCCTTATTTAATATACATCATTCATTCATTAACATTGAACTCATGGCTAACAACACCATGACTCATGCCTAAACCAAGCTTACCTAACACACCTATTTTTACATAAGGCACATCACAGTCTTCTTGCACTTAGGAATCCAGGACAGCACTTCAGTTCTACACTTGGGGTCATTTTAAATGACAAAATATTCAACAAAAAGTACGCAAACGTGAAAGACACATCATTAAATAGACTCTGAAAAGGACACTCCTTTACAGTGTGAGAACAGAAAGAAAAAGGTGGTGTCACCTTGTTCTACCTCAGCTGGCAACAGGAGCAATTCAGATTTCTCACAGCTCTGCTCATGTCTGCAGAAGACCACAAAAAACACTGTGCCTGTTGATTTGAGGGATATAAATATATTTTGAGGAGGTAAATTTGCAAATACGGAAGCTATGAATAATGGATATTGACTGTAATAATAGTGCCCATTTTACAACGTGCCAGGAATTTTTCTGAAGTTTCCATATATTTATTCAATTTTCATGATAACCCAATGATAAATGGATTTTATGAAAATGAAAGAAATGAATATATACCAAAGCTTTTTATTAAAGAACAGTGCTACTGTATTTATTATGCTTCATAAGGGTGAAAAAGGGATGCACAGAGAGTTCAAGTCACTTACCCATGGACAGCAAGTAGTCAACTCCTGACAATGCCTCTGTAACCACACTCTTGATCACATTGTCACAGCATCTGACTCATTGGATAGCAGGCAGAACTGAAAAATTTCCTCGGAAAGTCTTGTCACCTACAGGACAATTCCAAGCATGGACCCTAAGGTCCTCATTGAACATTCTGATCAAACATCATCCATTTAATCCGTAGTAACTGAAAATGATTCCAGGCACCAGGGACGATGAACAAGGTAGTGTTCTTGCCTTTGTGGAATTTGCATCGAGATAGAAACAGAGAAAGAAAAAAAAACATGTATAGTATCATATAATGATAAGGGCTATAAGAAAAGCAAAACAAGTTAGAAAGGCAAAGGAAGTCCTCTCCAAGGAGGTGACATTTTTGCCTAGACCTAAAAGAAGTGAAGAAATAATGGGTGGAAGAAATATCTTGGGGAAAGGCCCTCTAGGCAAAGGGAACGGCAATTGCAAAGGCCCTGAGGTAGAACCAGGCCAGGTATGGTGCAAGGAACAGCAAGAGGATGATGAGGGTGGAAGGGGC